CCCCCCCCCCCCCCCCCCCCCCCCCCCCCCCCCCCCCCCCCCCCCCCCCCCCCCCCCCCCCCCCCCCCCCCCCCCCCCCCCCCCCCCCCCCCCCCCCCCCCCCCCCCCCCCCCCCCCCCCCCCCCCCCCCCCCCCCCCCCCCCCCCCCCCCCCCCCCCCCCCCCCCCCCCCCCCCCCCCCCCCCCCCCCCCCCCCCCCCCCCCCCCCCCCCCCCCCCCCCCCCCCCCCCCCCCCCCCCCCCCCCCCCCCCCCCCCCCCCCCCCCCCCCCCCCCCCCCCCCCCCCCCCCCCCCCCCCCCCCCCCCCCCCCCCCCCCCCCCCCCCCCCCCCCCCCCCCCCCCCCCCCCCCCCCCCCCCCCCCCCCCCCCCCACCCCCCCCCCCCCCCCCCCCCCCCCCCCCCCCCCCCCCCCCCCCCCCCCCCCCCCCCCCCCCCCCCCCCCCCCCCCCCCCCCCCCCCCCCCCCCCCCCCCCCCCCCCCCCCCCCCCCCCCCCCCCCCCCCCCCCCCCCCCCCCCCCCCCCCCCCCCCCCCCCCCCCCCCCCCCCCCCCCCCCCCCCCCCCCCCCCCCCCCCCCCCCCCCCCCCCCCCCCCCCCCCCCCCCCCCCCCCCCCCACCCCCCCCCCCCCCCCCCCCCCCCCCCCCCCCCCCCCCCCCCCCCCCCCCCCCCCCCCCCCCCCCCCCCCCCCCCCCCCCCCCCCCCCCCCCCCCCCCCCCCCCCCCCCCCCCCCCCCCCCCCCCCCCCCCCCCCCCCCCCCCCCCCCCCCCCCCCCCCCCCCCCCCCCCCCCCCCCCCCCCCCCCCCCCCCCCCCCCCCCCCCCCCCCCCCCCCCCCCCCCCCCCCCCCCCCCCCCCCCCCCCCCCCCCCCCCCCCCCCCCCCCCCCCCCCCCCCCCCCCCCCCCCCCCCCCCCCCCCCCCCCCCCCCCCCCCCCCCCCCCCCCCCCTTCCCTTCATCCTTATTTTACCCACCACCTTAACTCCCCCTCCGCCGTCCGCACCATCAATTCCTGGTTGCCTATTGCTTCTCAGTTTTTCGGCTTACTCGAGCATACAATGATTCATTCTCCACCCCCTATGCCGGACACCCCTTTCCCTGATCCACACCCCCCTTACCGCACAGACTTTTGCCTGCCCACCCTTCCGGAGCTACACCCGACTTAAAATGATCCCCCTACGCCCCCCCTGCTTTCTTATACAACCTCCCCCCCCCTCCGAAGCTTCACCGACCTGAATCCCCCCCCCCCTTAAAAAATTAAAAATTAATGCCGAGCTACACCGACTGATCTCCACCCCCCCCTCCGAGCTACACCGACTGATCTCCTCCCCCCCTCCGAGCTACACCGACTGATCTCCCCCCCCCCTCCGAGCTACACCGAGAGCTATCCCCCCCACCGCTCACGACTGATCCCCCCCCCCCCCTCCGAGCTACACCGACTGATCTCCTTTGGTGCGACTTTGACCGAGGATAACTGTTTCTGCTGTACAAAGTCACACACAAATCTCGTGTACAACATTCAGGTGCGACTTTCATGCGACTTTGGCGGGGGGTTTACATTGAAGTCTATGGCCCTCAAGTCACATCAATGTTGTTACCCAAGTAGTGCAGGAACTGTGAAGTCGCTGCGGGACTTGAAGTCGTCCAGATATGAATGTTTCCCATTGGGAAGCATAGGGGCGACTTGTCATGCGACTCTGGACCCCAAAGTCGCATAAGTGTGAATGGAGCCAAATCAGTGAAGTAGCCCCCGGGTCCCACCCATCCGACTTTCAGTGAAGTCGCACGATTTCCAAGTTGGACGACATACAGATTTGAGGTGCGATTTGCAGGACGTCCGACGCAGATATCTATGTAAGTCGCACCCGAAGTATCGCATGGACTACTTAGATATCTGTGCGGCTCCAAAGAAGTCAGAATCGCACCCGACATGACCGCTGTAATTGCAGACAATTGGGTGCGACTTTACAAGTCATATGGCATGCTAATCACATACAAGTCGCACCCCATAAATACCAAAGTTTGGGGTGTCCCCATAAAAGTTATAGAGGGCACATTCTTCCAATGGGGACTCTAGTTCTGGTGACCTGGGGGATCCCCAAGGAAGTCCCTTAATTTGCAGGGATTTCCTCTCACTTCCTGTTTGGCTATGGGACAGGAAGTGAAGGGAAATCTCCCCATATGGGACAGGAAGTGAAGGGAAATCTCCCCTATGGGAAAAGAAGTGAAGGGAAATCTCCCTTATGGGACAGGAAGTGAAGGGAAATCTCCCCAATGGGACAGAAAGTGAAGGGGAAATTTCCCCAATGGGGCAGGAAGTGAAGGGAAATCTCACCTATGGGACAGGAAGTGAAGGGAAATCTCCCCAATGGGAGGGGAAGTGAAGGGAAATCCTCCCTATGGGACAGAAAGTGAAGGGAAATCTCCCTTATGGGGCATGAAGTGAAGAAAAATCTCCCTTATGGGACATGAAGTGAAGGGAATCTCTTCTATGGGACAGGAAGCAAAGGGAAATATCCCTATGGGAACAGGAAGCGAAGGGAAATCTCTCTTATGGGAAAGGAAGTGAAGGGGAATCTCCCCTATGGGAAAGGAAGGGAATCTCTTGTGAAGGAGCAAAGGGAATCTCCCCTATGGGACAGGAAGTGAAGGGAAATCTCCATATGGGACAGAAGGTGAAGGGAAATCTCCCCATATGGGACAGGTGGAAATCTCCCCAGTGAAGGGGAAGGGAATCTCCCCTATGGGTCAGAAAGTGAAGCGGAATCTCCCTATGGGTCAGGAAGTGAAAGGAAATCTCCCCTAAGGGACAGGAAGTGAAGGGAAATCTCCCCTAAGGGACAGGAAGTGAAGGGAAATCTCCCCTATAGCCTAGAGTTAAACTTTAATAAAAAAAAAGGATCAAAAGCAAAAAGCCTTAGGCACGGTTCACACCAGGGCATTCCAGTTCCAGAAAAGTAGAACCGGCTGCGTTTGTCCTGCACAGAACTGCACTGGAACGCGGGTTGTAAAACGCATCATAAAACACACCAGAACGCATCAGTGGACCACTGGACCCCAAATGACCCAAAAAAGGAGGAACAAAGCATCTGCAAGGCATCAAAACACAATCAGAAACGCATCCAGACCGCATTTCTATGGTGTGAACCGGCCCTGAAAGACCAAACTCCGACTGCAGGGGATGACTCTCATTGGATTTCCAGCTCTGTACAAACATCTGCCCAGCAACAAAAAAATGTGTGCGACCTTTTGGGGCGATCCTCGGGTGTACAGAGCCAAGGCTTCCACATATCGCAATTCTTTGATTTATTGTTTTATTCTTTATAAATACTTTTCACAAAATGAAGACTTGCCCGGGAGGAAACAGAGGAGACCTGAGAATCTATTACATATCAGCATTCCTAATGATCCAGAACCAGAGACTGAAATGTGAAAATGATTGTTAATAGAATTAAAATGTAAAAAGGAAAATGAAAATGAATTAAAATTAAAATGTAAAAATGATTAATAGAATTAAAAAATGAATGAAAATGAAAATGTAAAAATGATTAATAGAATTAAAATGTAAAAATGAATGAAAATGAAAATGTAAAAATGATTAAATAGAATTAAAATTAAAAGGAATTAAAAAAAATAATTAAAATGTAAAAATGATTAATAGAATTAAAATGTAAAAATGAATGAAAATAAAATGTAAAAAATGAATGAAAATGAATTAAAATATAAAAATGATTAAAATGTAAAAGTGATTGTTAATAGAATGAAATAAATAAAAATGAATTAGAATTAAAATGTAAAAATGAATTAAAATGAAAATGAATTAAAAATGTTAAAATTAAATGAAAATGAATTAAAATGAAAATGAATAAATGAATTAAAATTAAAATATAAAAATGATTAATAGAATTAAAATGTAAAAATGAATTAAAATGAAAATGATTAAAATGAAAATATAATAATGATTAATAGAATTAAAATGTAAAAATAAATTATAATTAAAATGTAAACATGATAGAATTAAAATGTAAAAATTAATTAAAATGACTATGTAAAAATGATTTATTGGAATTAAAATGTAAAAGAATGAAAATTAAAATGAAAAAATGATAGTTAATAGAATGAACTCCCCAGCTGCATGCTCAGCAATACTAATTACACGAATCCCTGTCGTGTTATCCTCCGACCAGTAGGTGTCGCCGCATACAACTCTCCTGCCTCGGGCTACTCTGTGGACCAATCAGAGAACGTCTTTGTGTTTGTGTACGCTGCAAATGATCTTCCGGCCAAGAAGCGGAGCGGCGTCTCTCGGGTTCCGGAAGCTGGGTGGTTCCGTGTGTTTATTATTGGTCCGTCAGCCGTGTGCAGCCATGGCCTCCCTGGCCGGGGATGGGGCTCTGAAGCCGCTGCAGAGAGCCATGAAATTGCGCGAGCAGAGCCATCCAGCTGGACACGGGGAACCGGCACCGGGTGAGGAGGGGGATGGGAGGCCGTGTCACCATGCACAGGACTGATGCTTGTCATCACTGGGGACATTCAGAATTCATTGACATCAACACTCACTGATCACAGACCCTGGTGAGGGGCTGGGCCCCGGGCCCCTTGATATCCGCTTTGTGTCCGGGGGAATCGTTTTATTTCTCACATACCCAATAAATCAGAATTTCTTCTTTTTTTGCTAGAAAATGACATGGAACCCCAAAACTCCATCTATTCTCTGGAGGCGGAGACCCTGGGGAATAAAATGGCAGATGTTGCAATTATTTTGGTGTGCAGCCATTTATCAAATGTCAGATTTCAGTAAAAAACCACTAAATGAATTTCAGCAAATGCAATATAATACCCGATTGGAAGATGTCATGACGAGTAAGAAGATACCAAACGTGTCAAGACTTAAAGGATACGTTCACCTTTCATAACATGACACCCAATTGTAGTGTAACCTGCTATGAATAGACCGGCCCCCCCATCATCACCCATTTTGACAGCTAGCGGGGGATCTTCACCCAAGTCGCCCACCCTCTAGCTGTAACCCCAGACCCCGCATTCGCCATAGCCGCTGTCCCCGGACCCCGCATTCGCCATAGCCGCTGTCCCCGGACCCCGCATTCGCCATAGCCGCTGTCCCCGGACCCCGCATTCGCCATAGCCGCTGTCCCAGGACCCCGCAATCGCCATAGCCGCTCTCCCCGGACCCCGCATTCGCCATAGCCGCTGTCCCCGGACCCCGCATTCGCCATAGCCGCTGTCCCCGGACCCCGCATTCGCCATAGCCGCTGTCCCCGGACCCCGCATTCGCCATAGCCGCTGTCCCCGGACCCCGCATTCGCCATAGCCGCTGTCCCCGGACCCCGCATTCGCCATAGCCGCTGTCCCCGGACCCCGCATTCGCCATAGCCTCTGTCCCCGGACCCCGCATTCGCCATATCCGCTCTCCCCGGACCCCGCATTCGCCGTATCCGCTCCCCGGACCCGCATTCGCCGTATCCGCTCTCTCCCCGGACCCCGCATTCGCCGTATCCGCTCTCCCCGGACCCCGCATTCACCGTATCCGCTCTCCCCGGACCCCGCATTCACCGTATCCGCTCTCCCCGGACCCCGCATTCACCGTATCCGCTCTCCCCGGACCCCGCATTCACCGTATCCGCTCTCCCCGGACCCCGCATTCACCGTATCCGCTCTCCCCGGACCCCGCATTCACCGTATCCGCTCTCCCCGGACCCCGCATTCACCGTATCCGCTCTCCCCGGACCCCCCCGCATTCACTATATCCGCTCTCCCCGGACCCCGCATTCACTATATCCGCTCTCCCCGGACCCCGCATTCACTATATCCGCTCTCCCCGGACCCCGCATTCACTATATCCGCTCTCCCCGGACCCCGCATTCACTATATCCGCTCTCCCCGGACCCCGCATTCACTATATCCCTCTCTCCCGGACCCCGCATTCACTATATCCGCTCTCCCCGGACCCCGCATTCACTATATCCGCTCTCCCCGGACCCCGCATTCACTGTATCCGCTCTCCCCGGACCCCGCAGTGTTTCACTATATCCCTCTCTGCCTGTGGACCGGGCTTGCAGCACAGTGTGAACTCCGGATGCTCCCCATTGGGGTCACTGTGCTATCATTCCTTCCAGAAGACAGGAAATCTGTGACAATCCTGTGTTGTGTGGACTGTACTCACCAAACTCGTATTACACCTTCTAATGACATGATTGTCCTGGTCTACAGGATACTGCAGATCACTGTCATCTCTCGCACAGGTGTAGCGGCTCCTCCCCTTCAGTCTCGCACAGGTGTAGCGGCTCCTCCCCTTCAGTCTCGCACAGGCTTGCCGGCTCCTCCCCTTCAGTCTCGCACAGGTTTAGCTGCTCCTCCCCTTCAGTCTCGCACAGGTTTAGCTGCTCCTCCCCTTCAGTCTCGCACAGGTTTAGCGGCTCCTCCCCCTTCAGTCTCGCACAGGTGTAGCGGCTCCTCCCCTTCAGTCTCGCACAGGTTTAGCGGCTCCTCCCCTTCAGTCTCGCACAGGTGTAGCGGCTCCTCCCCTTCAGTCTCGCACAGGTTTAGCGGCTCCTCCCCTTCAGTCTCGCACAGGTGTAGCTGCTCCTCCCCTTCAGTCTCGCACAGGTGTAGCGGCTCCTCCCCTTCAGTCTCGCACAGGTGTAGCGGCTCCTCCCCTTCAGTCTCGCACAGGTGTAGCGGCTCCTCCCCTTCAGTCTCGCACAGGTGTAGCGGCTCCTCCCCTTCAGTCTCGCACAGGTGTAGCGGCTCCTCCCCTTCAGTCTCGCACAGGTGTAGCGGCTCCTCCCCTTCAGTCTCGCACAGGTGTAGCGGCTCCTCCCCTTCAGTCTCGCACAGGTGTAGCGGCTCCTCCCCTTCAGTCTCGCACAGGTGTAGCGGCTCCTCCCCTTCAGTCTCGCACAGGTGTAGCGGCTCCTCCCCTTCAGTCTCGCACAGGTGTAGCGGCTCCCCCCTTCAGTCTCGCACAGGTGTAGCGGCTCCTCCCCTTCAGTCTCGCACAGGTGTAGCGGCTCCTCCCCTTCAGTCTCGCACAGGTGTAGCGGCTCCTCCCCTTCAGTCTCGCACAGGTGTAGCGGCTCCTCCCCTTCAGTCTCGCACAGGTGTAGCGGCTCCTCCCCTTCAGTCTCGCACAGGTGTAGCGGCTCCTCCCCTTCAGTCTCGCACAGGTGTAGCGGCTCCTCCCCTTCAGTCTCGCACAGGTGTAGCGGCTCCTCCCCTTCAGTCTCGCACAGGTGTAGCGGCTCCTCCCCTTCAGTCTCGCACAGGTGTAGCGGCTCCTCCCCTTCAGTCTCGCACAGGTGTAGCGGCTCCTCCCCTTCAGTCTCGCACAGGCGTAGCGGCTCCTCCCCTTCAGTCTCGCACAGGTGTAGCGGCTCCTCCCCTTCAGTCTCGCACAGGCGTAGCGGCTCCTCCCCTTCAGTCTCGCACAGGCGTAGCGGCTCCTCCCCTTCAGTCTCGCACAGGTGTAGCGGCTCCTCCCCTTCAGTCTCGCACAGGCGTAGCGGCTCCTCCCTTCAGTCTCGCACAGGCGTAGCGGCTCCTCCCCTTCAGTCTCGCACAGGTTAGCGGCTCCTCCCCTTCAGTCTCGCACAGGTGTAGCGGCTCCTCCCCTTCAGTCTCGCACAGGTGTAGCGGCTCCTCCCCTTCAGTCTCGCACAGGCTTAGCGGCTCCTCCCTTCAGTCTCGCACAGGCTTAGCGGCTCCTCCCCTTCAGTCTCGCACAGGTGTAGCGGCTCCTCCCCTTCAGTCTCGCACAGGTGTAGCTGCTCCTCCCCTTCAGTCTCGCACAGGTTTAGCGGCTCCTCCCCTTCAGTCTCGCACAGGTGTAGCGGCTCCTCCCCTTCAGTCTCGCACAGGTGTAGCGGCTCCTCCCCTTCAGTCTCGCACAGGTGTAGCGGCTCCTCCCCTTCAGTCTCGCACAGGTGTAGCGGCTCCTCCCCTTCAGTCTCGCACAGGTGTAGCGGCTCCTCCCCTTCAGTCTCGCACAGGTGTAGCGGCTCCTCCCCTTCAGTCTCGCACAGGTGTAGCGGCTCCTCCCCTTCAGTCTCGCACAGGTGTAGCGGCTCCTCCCCTTCAGTCTCGCACAGGTGTAGCGGCTCCTCCCCTTCAGTCTCGCACAGGTGTAGCGGCTCCTCCCCTTCAGTCTCGCACAGGCGTGCTGCTCCTCCCCTTCAGTCTCGCACAGGTGTAGCGGCTCCTCCCCTTCAGTCTCGCACAGGCGTAGCGGCTCCTCCCCTTCAGTCTCGCACAGGCGTGCCTGCTCCTCCACTTCAGTCTCGCACAGGTGTACCTGCATCATCTAGCCTTTTCTCCCCAGCCTGTCTCTGGCCCCGCCCCTTTCATTCAGTAGTGCCCACCTCATATCCTGGCTGGAGGATATCCAGCATCATCCAGCCCCACCCCCAACACACACACACCCCCCCCCCCCCCCCCCACACACACACAGGCTGCCATCCAGCCATAAAGGTATTTTGATATTTGCATAACCCCTCCCTGATGCAAGAAGTGGGTTGGTCTTCCTCCCCAGCCTGTCCCAGGCTCCTCCCCTTTCATACACTGGATTCCAGTTCCATCAATGACGGAGGCTCAGAATAACACAGAACATCCACTTGGTGAAGCTATCCCGGCCCTTCCCCCGATGGGGATGGAAGTTTCCTCGGTATTTAGTACAGTGTCCCTCTGTAGCATTGCCAGCGCGCAGGATGATTTTCCTGGCTTCTCTCTTGCAGGAGGCCTATGTGGAGTACCTGAGGAACGTCACTTTTATATCCCAGTTCCTGGCGGATGAGGCTGAGCAGAGAGGTAACCGTTCTATTCCCCTCCATACAAAGCTGAACATTTCATAACAACCTATCTAATGACACTGCATGGAAAGTCGCTGTGTGGGACCGAGGCGCATCGAATACTCAGATGATTCTCTGCAGTTCAAGTAAATGTGGAACTTACTGCATATGACCACTAGATGGCACTGCATATAATAGGAAATACATATGCTCCTCGGTGCCATCTAGTGGTCATAATGTGTGTTTTCCTGCAGTAGGGGTCCCCTCTTAAAGTGGAAGCTAGGCTTATTGGCCTAAACCCCCCCCCCCCCCCCCCCCCCCACTGCCATTTTTGGGGGCAAGGGGAGGAATCGGTACCTAATTTTGACAGGTACCTGCTCCCACTTCCGGCTCAGTTCGCCGCAGCTCCCTCCTCCCTCCCACAATCTCCTGGGAACCTTCACAGGTCCCAGAAGACTGCCGGACCAATCGGAATGCACAGCATGACTTGCGCATGCGCAGTGGGTACCCGGCTATGAAGCCACAAGTGCCTAGTAGTTCCTCTGACTGAGAGAGCCGAGCGCCAGCTCCAAGAAACGGTCCCAGCATCACTCCGGTACAACTGCGGACAGTCCAATGACATACAGGTACATTGCTGGTCCGGAAGTAGTTAAAGTGGTTGTAAACCCTCCATATACCCAGTGAAGTGACCGGCCTCAGGTGATACACAGAGATGAAACAAATCCTCCTACAGAAGTTGTACCTGTTTATCTACAGTACTCTCTTCTCTACAGGTGTTTGAAGTGGAGAATTTATACATCTTGTCTGAGATTTCAGAAAGCGCGAGGTGCTGAAGTTACACCCTGCAGAGCTCAGTGAGAGCTGATTGGGGGGAAGAGGAATACCCCCCCGCCCCTTCACACAGGAACAGAACTGAGGCTGTCAATCACAGGCTGTGTGCTGGAGCTTCCTTCCCTGTCACCTTTTATCTCTTGGTGTCAGGAAAACCTGTCAGAATTGATTCATGCAGATAGCAGAGGAAGGAGGTGGCAGACAGAAGTGACACTTTTTGTGCTCTGGACTGAGACAAGTACACACTATAGAGGGATGTGCTTTGTTCATCTTTCATGTCTGAGGTTTGCAGCCACTTTATTGTACGGCCAGTTTTAGTTACAGGAATAAATGTTCCCATGAGAAGATTTCCCCTCCGGTCTGGTGACAACTGTAAAGTGTTGGATTTCCCGTCACTTTCTCTTTTCCACTGCAGCGGTTCCCGAATGTCGAGGATGAATCTCCTCAGTGATGACAGAGATCTTGCTGGAGGCTCCACCCCTTTGCCACTCCATCCCAAACTAAACCGAAAACTTTTGGCTCTCCCGACCCCATATTGAATGACCCCCCTACGTGCAGCGCTGTGTTTTCTTCTTGTCGGTCACAAGGGGTCCAGGCAGGATTTGTTACATCGTTGTTCTGTGTATCCTCAGCCCCATACATGGTGAATGGGATGCCGGAGGATTCATCAGGCACTGTGATTGGTCAGATTATTTATTTCAGAGAGATCCTACAATGATTTTTTTCTGGCTTGGCAGGGGGGGAGTCGTTGAACCCTGACTCACACAAGTTGCTGAAGGTGGCTGAGCAATGCCTGGAGAGGGCGCGGACCACAGCAGATAATCTAGGTGAGTCCATATACACCCGCTAATACCCCCCCTGAACATGGGGGAGGGGGTTCAACTTCTGGGGAAATGATGCGCACAACAAATGTCGCCAAAACGTTTGGCTGGAGTAACCCAACTCTGGGCACGAGAACCCTTCCAGACTGAGAAAAGTAAACGCACCAAAGGGCTCCATGTACACTGCAGCTGATAAACTGACGTTCAGGAGATGTTCTGTGTTTTTTTTTTCCCAGCAGCCCCTGAACTCTCCCTAATGTCCTTCTATGTCTCCGTGTACACAGAGTCCTGTACAGGCAGTGGAGGAGTTTGCAGTCATTTAGAACGCTAACCACCAAACGCATTCAGGAGGAGATTTTACTGGCATTTCAAACGCTTGTCAACGCAGCTAACCACATTTATAAGCGTTTGCGTTTATAGCTTACAATTATTATTCAGGATTTATGGCGCCAACAGTGTGCTCAGCGCTGTACAATATAACGGGAGACAATCCACAGCAACAATAGAGATCTTACAATACAAGAGGGATAGGAGGCCCTGATCCTGGGAGCTTACAATCTAAGGGGGAGGGGGGATCCTGGGAGCTTACAATCTAAGGGGGAGGGGCTGATCCTGGGAGCTTACAATCTAAGGGGAGGGGTCCTGATCCTGGAGCTTACAATCTAAGAGGGAGGGCCTGATCCTGGGAGCTTACAATCTAAGGGGATCCTGGGGCTGGGAGCCTTCCAATCTAAGAGGGAGGGCCTGATCCTGGGAGCTTACACTCTAGGAGGGAGGGGCTGATCCTGGGAGCTTACAATCTAAGAGGGCTTACAATCTAAGAGGGAGGGCCTGATCCTGGGAGCTTACAATCTAAGAGGGAGGGCCTGATCCTGGGAGCTTTACAATCTGATCCTGGGAGCTTACAATCTAAGAGGGAGGGGCCTGATCCTGGGAGCTTACAATCTAAGAGGGGGGGGGCCTGATCCTGGGGAGCTTTACAATCTAAGAGGGAGGGGCTGATCCTGGGAGCTTACAATCTAAGAGGGAGGGCCTGATCCTGGGAGCTTACAATCTAAGAGGGAGGGGCTGATCCTGGGAGCTTACACTCTAAGAGGGAGGGGCTGATCCTGGGATCCTGGGAGGGGCTGATCCTGGGAGCTTACAATCTAAGAGGGAGGGGCTGATCCTGGGAGCTTACAACTCTATCCTGGGAGAGGGAGGGGCTGATCCTGGGAGCTTACAATCTAGGAGGGAGGGGCTGATCCTGGGAGCTTACAATCTAAGAGGAGGGCTAGGGTACAAAAGGTAATAACTGGTGAGGGGCTGGTAGGAGGAGTAGAAGATTCCATTATTAGCTGAGGGCAGGATAGGCTTCCCTGAAGAGATCGGTTTTCAGAGATCGCAATCTAAAAGTGAGCAGAGTAGGCGATAGTCTGATAGATTAGGGTAGAGAGTTCCAGCGGATGGGGGAGGCTCTGGAGACCTGAGCATGGGAGATTGGGGAGGACAATCCTGGGGGAGCTATAGAGAGAAACTTTTAGAAGCGTTTTTAACTGTTCCATGTCCAGATGCTGTCCGGAGCCTTTTTTTCTTCATCAGAGATGCATGCAGAGCGTTTTCCATGTATCAAATGGACCCGGAACACCAGCGCAGTCAGTTGCAGGTTTTATGTGAAGGAAACAATGGTGGAACACACCGCATTCTGCTCATGATGGGATTCATAGTGACTACAACCAGAAAAGACCGGCTCATCTCCACACATACCGCTCTCTCTGCTTCCGCTCTCCCGGCTTCCGCTCTCCCCGGCTTCCGCTCTCCCCCGGCTTCCGCTCTCCCCGGCTTCCGCTCTCCCCAGCTTCCGCTCTCCCGGCTTCCGCTCTTCCGCCCTTCCCGGCTTCCTCCGCCTTCCGGCTTCTTCGCCTTCCCGGCTTCTTCCGCCTTCCCGGCTTCCTCCGCCCTCCCGGCTTCTTCCGCCCTCCCGGCTTCCTCCGCCCTCCGGCTTCTTCCCCGCCTGCCTCCCGGCTTCTTCCGCCCTCCCGGCTTCTTCCGCCTCCCGGCTTCTTCCGCCCTCCCGGCTTCTTCGCCTTCCCGGCTTCTCCCGCCCTCCCGGCTTCTTCTTCCGCCCCCCCGGCTTCTTCCGCCCCTCCCGGCTTCTTCCGCCCTCCCGGCTTCTTCCGCCCTCCCGGCTTCCTCCGCTCTCCCGGCTTCCTCCGCCCTCCCGGCTTCCCGCCTCCCGGCTTCTTCCCCGCTTTCCGCTCCCCAGCTTCCGCCTCTCCCGGCTTCCTCCGCCTTCCGGCTTCTTCCGCCCCTCCCGGCTTCCTCCGCCCTCCCCCCGGCTTCTTCCGCCCTCCCGGCTTCTTCCGCCCTCCCGGCTTCTTCCGCCTTCCCGGCTTCTTCCGCCTTCCCGGCTTCTTCCGCCCGCCCCCGGCTTCTTCCCGCTTCTTCCGCTCTCCCCCAGCTTCCGCCCTCCCGGCTTCTTCCGCCCTCCCGGCTTCTTCCGCCTTCCCGGCTTCTTCCGCCCTCCCGGCTTCCTTCCGCCTCCCGGCTTCTTCCGCCTTCCGCCCTCCCGGCTTCTTCCGCCCTCCCGGCTCCTCCGCCCTCCCGGCTTCCGCTCTCCCGGATTCTCTCAAAATGTCTGAAATAGTTAATTATTTACTATTTTTCAGTGCATTCTGGGCATTTGTGAAGGTCAAATGAAAACAAAAAGAGGGCGCACCGGCCCTATCGTTTTAAAAATATTTGTTGAAAGAATAAAAAAGTAGGTACATACTCACAGTGGACATCACAATGAACAAAGGTGTTCAATCCATATAGCATCTGAGTCCACAACGATGGAACCGTGGATGACCAACTGATTGACGCGTTTCGAGGACTCTGAGGGCTCTGAGGAAGAGGCTGAGTCCTCAAAACGCGTCAGCCAGTTCATTGTGATGTGCCTGTGTTTTATATGTCTATTGTGAGTGTGATACCTACTTTTTTATTCTTTCAATAAATATTTTAAACA